ATCATGTGTTCAGAAGTGGGAGAGAAACAAGTCAAAATCTGCAGAGGAAGAGTTCTCACACCAAGAACTCAGAGGAAAGTAGGAAGACTTTCCTTTGATCGTATAAGACCCCACTGGCTTCGGTGTATCAGCATTTCGAGGAGAATGGCAGAGTCCTTCAATCCCTGAAAGAGATCTAATGCAGGAGGGTTTAGAAGAGGACCTTGGAGAAGGGCCCTGGAGAAGAAAGATTTAGAAAGGTCACTGAGGATCCAAGGTGCAATGTAATGCTCTTTGTAGAAGATGATAAATGTCACCGAAGACATTATAAAGAGAAGACGTAGGCTCTCCACATCACTGAATTCTGCACTCACATCAGGGAGAATAATGGTGAAAACCAGAGTGTTGGATTTGGTGGGGTGCTGGGTCACAGTCACCGTGGGGAGCCATTTCACTGGCACGTACATGCAGGGTCTGAGAAAACAGATGCAGCTGCTAGTTTTCTTTTTCCTTTAATTATTCACTTATTTCATTCCATTTGTTTATTATTACTATTATTATTATTACTTTAACTTGACCAGAGAGAGAGAGAGAAAGGGAAAGGAAGAAACCAAGCCTCCAGGTCCGGGACTCAAACTGCAGTCCACCAGGTGGGAATCCAGTGCCTTTAACCACCACACCACCTGCTGGCCCTGCAGTTGCTAGTTTTGAACAAACAAAATGTGTCCGTTTTCCTTCTCCTTCCCAGAGTACCTATGCTGAGGTCAGTGTTTATTATTATTATACTTACTGCTGCATAGGTATGAGACATCTTCAGAAAGCTCATGGAGAATGCACAGTACCAAAATAAAGTTATTCTTTAATTTTATTTTCTCAAGTCCCCTCAAGTGTGTGTGGTTTTGGTATTTCAAAATGTATGTATTTAGTATGCAGCTTTCAAATGTTTCCCTGAGTGTTATAGCTTTTTGAAATTCATCTAGCAGGTTTTCCAATTTTTATTGGAAACCCCCCCAAAAAGAAAAAAATGTTTTCCTGATTTGAAAATCATAAATATATAGCCAATGTGAAAAACTCCAACATTTACAGAAAGTTAAAATGCTTCATCAAAATGTCTTTAAGGAAGTCACTATTCACCATAAGGTGTACCATTTCTATAGCCAAGATGTTATATTGCATGTAGCACAACTAAACACTATCAAAGAATGCCTTCTAGAGAGAAGATAATTGAAGTCTGTGTTTACCATCATATCCTGTTCTCTAGTAGTTTTTTATTTTGTTTTAAAAAAGGCAGTCTCAACAAAGGTTACTAGGTCTTTAAGCAGGTCTCGTTGGGAAGACCCGCCATTGTTTACACCACAGAGCCACAGACTTCTATAGATTTGATTTGATTGCTGCACCTGATAGGAGCCGCTACTTGCACAAAGCAGACAGCCTTGATGAGCAGCTGGTAAACTTGGAGCACGTATAAGACAATCAGAGGAAGTCTCCCTATAAACGTCTCCGTGCAAGGAAAGGTGCTTTTTCCATTTGCCGTTTTCTGAGCAATTTAACTTCCTAATTACATGTTCCAAATTGTTTCAGAGACTATGTAAACCATATGTTTGTTAAATGATAGAGACAAACATGGGGAAGTCTGATTAGCATCAACTTCCCTCAGGAAAGGGGTTTCTTTTCCAGTGCAACTTGGCCTGCTTTGTACTTACTGGACATGACTGAGTAATCAGAGGAGGGAAACAGGGGCCATGGATCGCTGCATCTGGGTATAGAGTCCCCCCTCTCCTTCTGCTCAAGCACACGTTTTAACCTAGAGTTATCCTTCTGTGTGTATTCGAGTGAGAGAGAAAGTATGTACTGGTTGACATTAAGAGGATAAATCTCATTCAATATGTAGCAGATTCAGAGGGGGGGGCAGTACTCATGATTATCTTGAACCTTCATGAGATTGTGTGTGTGTATGTGCGTGAGAACACACAGCTAGCAGGAGTGAACTATTTTTCAGTTTTGGTTCTATTGGGTTTGAATGGTAGCTGTTAAGAATAAAAAAATAAATTTGCTTCATTACTATTAAATGAAATCAAATTTTGTTAATATTGAATTCACAAAGAAGAGTACTAAAGAAGATGTAAATGCCTACATTATTATACAATGAAGAAGTTTACCGACCTGGATAAAATAATGATATTGAATGATTGATAGTAAGTCACTTACAAAAACAAATAAGTACACATGTTTCCTGCAACTTATTTTGGAGCCAGAAGTAAAAGTAGTGGGAAAAGTTTCTAATTCAGGTATAGTCAGTGACACAGCTGTGCAGACATACACAAGGAGATGCTTGGGATGAGTTTGCAGAGCTCTGAGTTGGATGGCCATAGTTTATCAACCCAACTGGACGTTTGAGAAGACAACAGGCATGCACTGGATCATATGGCCACCTTGGCTCTTAATCAGTGGCATTGCAATTGTCATCACTTAAGAGAACAATTAAGAAACCTTGGGGCCAGCAAGTGGCATGGTGGTTAGGGTGCTGGACTCCCACATGGTCAACCACAGTTAGAGTCTTGGACCTTGTGGCCTGCTCTCTCACTCTCCCTCTCTCTCTGTGTCTTTCTCTGTCTCTCTCTGGTGGGCACACATGCCCTATAGCAAATTTTTAAAATGACAATAATCATAAAATTAAGGAAAGCTTTATAAGATTTGTCTACTTTTTTCTGTAATTACTCAGAAAAGACAGATTCAGAGTATGGATAAAGATACTAGCTGGTGGTGTTTGTGTGTAAGCACACACTAGGGAGTATATGAGGCCTGAAAATTAGGAGACATTAAAAAAAATTAACTAGTATGCTCATATTAGTTTCTTGTGAACTCTTGGTCTTGAATTCTACTGAGCACTGCTTAGTAAGTGAAATCACTTTATGCTGAAGACTTTTTAGAACTTGAGTCGTCTTAAATGATGACTTTTTAGCATATACATTTCTTTGATATTTATTTCTTTAGAAATACCTACAATGCCTGTGCACTATTTAGAGCCCTATCCAAATACTCCATGTTCATAGTATTTGTTAGGCTCTTTCAATTTCTGTCTGAAGCAGAATTATTTTTACCTAGAAACAAGTGTCATCGACTGCTAGATGATCCTTTTTTTATTCTTTATTTTTTTTAACTTGAAAATTGGACCAAAGGAGTGACTAGCAGGTGCAGAGAAGACAATAACAAGGAAGCCCCAGTTCGCCTACATTTTCTTGTTTTTGATACCATTCTTGAGGTTTTTCTCTTTTGCTTGTTTGCTTGTTTTTATCCTGAGTCCTGGGCTGTTCAGTCTATGTCTGATATCTATACAACATTACTCTTGCTCTGCTCTGCTAGAATCTGACTTCTTTGTTTCTAGTAAATCTTTTAAAATATAATCAGTTTATTCATGAAATATACTAGCATGCTTCCTCCTTTTGTAAACACTATGTACACTTTGATAAGGTGCATCATCTGGATAGGAGAAGTATTTTTATATACCCTGGGTGTGGATGCAGTCATCTAGACACAGTCTCAGGAGAGCTTTGCAGATGAACTTGACGCATCAGCTTTCAATCAATGCAGATAACTACCCTGGCAACAAATAAGCTTTAACAGAAGGCAGTGTTTTGCTTTTATAGGTAATAACTGTGTTCACAGTTTTTTAAGGTCAGGATACATCAAACTGAGTTTTAAAAAAGATTATAGGAGAGTTAGGAAGATGTTCATCATTGAATAAAAGACATTCCAAGAAATCTTAAGCAAAGTGGCCTATTCTAAAATTGCTATAATAAAATATTTGAGCAGAAAGAAAACCTTTCCTTTTAGCTCCCCTAAATTCATATAGTTGCCTTATTATTAAATATGGTAATTATTTATTATCCCTAGACTGTACTAAAATTTGCTGCATATTTGGCTATTTATTTAACTTTTTTTGGTGTGTATGTGCCTGTTTAGCTGCAAGGGTACAGATGCAGAGTAGGGGGAGCTGTATCTAACCAGGTTTGGGATTTGCCAGGCAGGTACAACCAAGTAGATGAGCATTGTGTGCTAGCAATGGTTATAACTAAGCTGAAGGAATAGAGCCAGATTAGACATACACAGTGCTATGGAGATGGGAGTACAGGGGACTAAGGAGTCCTGACCATAAACAAGGATAGAAAGCATGGTATCCTTGGGACCAGCAGTTGGTGTAATATCGCTGGGCTTCCATGTATTCGACCATAGTTCAAGTCCTGGAACCGGTGGCTTAATTAAACTCATGCTGGGCACATATGCGTGTGTGCCCAGGATCCTGGGAGGAAAATGGAGGAGGAGAGACTGTGATGTGGTCATTCCCCTTGGTGGGGGGAGAGTGATTTCTCACTTTCTGTCTCTTGGTCTCTCTCTGTCTTTCTGGGGAGCGCATGCGCCCTATGGCAAAAACCTCTCCAAAAAAAAAAAAAAAAGTACGGCATTCTAAGTCCTGGTGACTTTGAAATGGTTAGTGAGGCTGTGAGTGTGAGAGTGAAGGATCAGTTGAGCATCTTTCCAGAAACAAAGAGAACTTCTGGGTTCCTTCCGCTCCTAGGTGTGGCTCTTCGGAGGCTGGGAGTAAGCCTTAGTAACCACAGCCTGGGTGGATTTGAGGATTCTTCATCACTCTGTAGATGGAGGTGTGCAAGGTGTGCTTTGGTATTACCAGGATACATGCAAGTCTCACTTGTTATAACAGCTTCAGGATGATGTCAAGTCAGACCTAGAGGTTTAGTCATTTCCTAAATATTGGTTTTATACCTAGGATGCAATTTATTACATACATAATAGTAGTAATTAACAGGTTTAATTGAGAAGAGTGTTACATTGATCCGTAATCAGTAAGTATAATCAGATTCAGATATGTATTTCAAAATAAATAATTATCTTCTTCACCTCTTCCCCACCCCATCACCTTCCCCAAAATGTGACTTGAAAACCGACACTGTCACAGTCTTCTCTATTAAACACTGACATGTTCTTTTTCCTTTTCTATGTAGTGAAGAAAGTTACAACGTCAATGATTATTCCTTACGAGATCAGCTATTGGTAGAATCTTGTGACAATGAAGAGCTTAATTCTTCTCCAGGGAAGAACAGTTCCACAATGCTGTATTCAAGACAGAGCTCGGCCAGTCACCTCTTCACCCTGACAGTCCTTAGTAACCACGCAAATGAGAAAGTGGAAATGCTGCTGGGGGCTGAGACGCAGTAAGTATGTGCAGAGAGAGGGTTCCAAATACCTGGTATCTGTCTCCCCTACCTAATTGTTCCTGGTCTGTAGACCCCCTAAAAGCACTGATTACTATTTTGTTGTTGTTGAGTACCTAGTATATGCTGCGTGCCGTGTCCAGGTCCCGTATACAGATGATCCTCCTGTTGTGATCCTCTCACTGTCTTAAGAGATGGATGTTGTTATATTTGTCCCTATAAGTTCTAATGGTTACACTGTACTTTAGGTGATACGGATTTTACTTTTATAGACTGGTTTAAGCATCATTTTTATTGGGACCAGCAGATGGCATAATGGCTGTGTTGCTGGACTCCCATGTAATCAACCACAGTTCGAGTGCCAGTCCTGGCAGTTTAAAACTCATGCTGGGCATGCACGTGTGTGACCAAAATTCTGAGAGGAGAATGGAGGAGAAGGGATTGCAGTGTGGCCATCCCCCCGGGGGGAGTGATTTCTCGCTTTCTGCCTCTCTGTCTCTCCAGCAAGCACACATGCCCAATAGCAAAAACCTCTTTTAAAAAATCTTTTTTTCATCGACAAAAATATGACCCACCAGCCTTAATAAATATGACTCAGACCTTGCTCTGGATTCACTTTACCTTAGAGGAGTGTTTGACTTAGCCAGACTAGTAAACGTTTATATCAGCAATAAGCTTGCTTCACTTTTTTATCATTCTGTTCACTGGAGTAGCACTTTTAAATTCCTTTAGAACTTTTCCTTTGTGTTCACACTTACCTAACTTGAGGTCTAGCTTTTGGCCTATTTTGACTTTTGACATACTTTTCTCTCCCTCCTTCATCATTTCTAGCTTTTTTGATGGAAAGTGAGAGACACCCAACTCTTTCTCATTTTGAACACTTAGCCCATTGTAGAGTGCTTAACTGGCTTAATTTCAATACTGTTTTGTCTTAGAGAATAGGGAGGCCTGAAGAGAAGGAGAGAGACAGGGAAATAGCAGGTTAGTAGAGCAGCCAGACACATACATTTATCATTTAAGTTTACCAGTATTTATGGGTGTAGCTCATGGCACCCCAAAACAATTACAATAGTAACATTAAAGATCACCTGATCACAGATCATCATAACATAAAATAATGATGAAAAAAACTGAAACATTGCGAGAATTACCAAAATGTGACACAGAGACACAAAGTGAACACATGCTTTTAGAAAAATGGTACTGAGAGGCCAGAAGGTGGTGCAGTGGAAGCTTGAAACTCATGCTGGGCACATGTGTGTGTGTGTGTACCCAAAATCCCAAGAGGGGAATGGAGGAAAAGGGATTGCTGTATGTGGTCTAGCCATCCCCCCAGGGTGATTGATCACTCTCTGTCTCTCTGGAGAGCACACATGCCCTAAAAGGGAAGAAAAAAAAAAAAAAGCAAACTCTCAAATTTAAAAAAAAGAAGAAACAGAGAGAAAGAAAAAGAAAGAGAGAAAGAAGAAGAAAGAAAAGAAAGGAAGGAAGGAAGGAAGAAAGGAAGGAAGGAAGAAAAAAGAGAAAGAAAAAGAAAGAAGAAAGGGTGGCTCTGATAGGCTTCCTGGATTTAGGGTTGCCACAAACTTTTTATTTATGAAAAATGGAATATCTGCAAAGTGCAATAAATGAAGCATCATCAGAGGGGATATAGCTGTATTTTAAATAGACTTGAAAGTCAACAGAAAGCGTGAACATGAAAAGGAGCTTCATTCTAATATGTTTGTTTACAAAATTAAAAAACAAAAACAAAAACAAAAACAAAAAACCTTTTGTCTAAGGTCTGAGGTTCTTTCTGAAACTACTGAAAAGTCCTGAGCATTCCAAGCATACTCAGTGTATTTGCTATTTGAGGGGGGTCTTGGGTGGTGTAGTGCTGGCTGGTCAGTGTAGATGATTAATATGAGTCACAGTCAATGCTGAGGGAGGGCGTGGCTTCAACTCTACAAGTAATTTAAGGCCTGGAACAGAGGCACAATTGGTAGCAAACGGAGCTGCAGTGCTGGAGATCACATGGCTGACTATGACTCTCTGGGGTTGGTACTGAAGATTCTGACAAGCTGGAGGACTAGAGAAAAGGGATTGTGGCATGACAAGGCCCTGTTAAGGGTGCTTTCTCTCTCTCTTTCTCTCTCTCCCTCATGTGTACACACACACTATTATGAGTAAAAATAAACTTTAAAAAAATTAGAAAATAAGGCCAGTCTGTGGCATGGTACTTAGGGAAGGTAGATCCCACATGACCAACTACACTGTTTAGGTCCTGGAACTGGCAGCTTTAGAAACATGCTAGTTTTTTTGGGCATGTCACATATGTGTACATGCCCAAAATCTCAGAAGGAGGGGGACATGGAGGAGAAGGAATTGCAACATGACCATTCTCCATGAGTAGGGGGGATTGTTCTTTCTTACTTTCCATCTCTGTCTCTCTCTCTGTCTCTCTCCAACGAGTGCACATACCCTCTGGAAAACTAAAAAAAAAAAAGTTAAATCTTTGGAGATCAGTACTAGTTTTAGACAATTGTCAGAAATTAGAGACTTCCTTAATTAGTAATGATCAAAGTGTTGTTTCCTTTTCGGTTCACAATGATGGTTTTGGTCTTGCCAGGACCTCAACACAGCCTTTCCTGGTGGTCTCATTCATCATGTATGTAATCTTCACCACTTGTTTCTTTTATTTTCTAAACAATTATTTTATTTAACTTTATTTATTTATTTATTTTAATTTGACCAGAGAGGGGCAGAGTGAGAGAGAGAGAGAAGGAAAGTGGGAAAGCATGCTGCCAGGTCCGGGATTTAAACTGCAGTCAGCCAGTGTGGGAGTCCACTGCCTTTAACCCCACACCACCTGCCAGCTCCACCACTTGTTTCTTAAATGACTCCAAGAGAGTAGGAAGTAAACTAACATGTCCAGTTCGTTCTGCACCAAGGCTCATTCCTTTCCCGGAACATTCTGTAGTATTTGTCCCACGCTCTCGCCTTTTGATCTTGCCATGCATGGATTGAATGGATGTTCATTTCCTGAATCAAACATGTTCTCAGAATATTTAGTTATGTCGCTCGTGAACCCATGGGTATGATTCATATTGTAGTTCTTAATTAATAGCTAGGGAACATTCCAAAAGGCGCAGAGAGACAGAAGTCTCTTTGGGTACAGAAATAATGACTCTCCCATTCTCCTCACTCTCCCTCCCCAGTTCCAGTTGAGAAGTAAATAAATGGACGGATACTAACAAGACATAAAGTGGTGGGGCAGAAGGAAAATATATTATAGCCTAAGATGTATTGTACTTTCTTTTTTTTTAAAGACAATTAGCTGTGTAAAAGCTTAGCAAATTGTTAAATGCCAGTGTAGAATATGTTTATCATTTCTTAGATTTTCAAAGTGTATCGATGAATACATATATGTTTTTTAGGTTTTCTCTCTTTTATGTCTCATTTGGCTAATATGGTCCATTGGCAGTCTAGTTGAGAAAGTGAGGTTTTTGCAAACTTTCAGTCACATATATCCTTTGTCTTCTTATTCTTTGAGTTGAAAAAGAATAGAGTTCACACCTAAATATTTTGTCTTTGAAAACCTGCTGTCAGTGGAGGCCACCTAGGGACATACAAAATGCAAAATCAGCAGTAGGAGGGCTGCAGCTGTTTGGTGCAAGGACAATTCAACTCCATAAGATAGTGGAATTGTGGAAGAGCAAATCAATGGCTTTGATTACTTGGAGAATGCAGAAATCCTCACTAAAAGGGATTGGGGCAAACGCTTAGTGAGCATCTGGAATGTACCAGGCACAGAGCCAACTACAGAACATGAAGAAGGAGCCCTCCCCACCCCCCCAGTCATTTTTAGGGAAGGAAAGAATTTCAGAGCTGAAGAAGAAATATAGGTAAGGTTCATACATCTCAGTTTCTCCAGAATCAATAGTTCAAGTTTACATCTGCTGTCCTGGTGAAGTTATGGGGACTGTAATTATATGTCCTGTATAATTATAAAAGAAAATAATGTTATAAAATATATAATATAAAGATACATTTATAAGTCTATATATTCTAACTCCTCATTTGTTCCCTGCTGTAAAATGAGACTTACGAAATAAACTGATTTTGCCCAAAGTCATAGAGTAAGTTACTGCTGAAGCTGGAGCTAAAAACTGACCCCCACCCCAACCACCAAGCCAATGCTCTTTCTTCTTTTTATTTTTTTGAAGAGGTTTTTGCTATAGGGTGCGCGCACTTGCCAGAAAGACCTAGAGAGACAGAGAGACAGAAAATGAGAAATCACCCCCCAGAGGGATGACCACACCGCAATCCCTTCTCCTCCATTCTCTTTTTGGGATCTTGGGCATGCATGCACACATGCC